GAATTTTATCAAATGCTTTTTCTGCATCTATTGAGACAATCATTTGGTTTTTGTCTTTTGTTGATGTGTATCCCATTGATCGATTTGCTTATGTTGAACCATCCTTGTGCCCCTCAAATGAATCCAACTTATTTGTGGTGTAGGATCTTTTTATGTGTTGTTGGCTTTGGTTTGCTAATACTTTGTTGAAATTTTTTGCATCTATGTTCATAAAAGCTATTGGCCTGTAATTTTCTTTTTTGGTATTTTTGTTTAGTTTTGGTAGCTTTACATGTTATATTTATGTGAACTTTTTGTTTCTTGCTTTTATGAACTCTTCTGTTCCTCCTAGGTTATAAATAGATCTGTCAGACTTTAGGGTAGTTATGACTACGTTGTAAAATTACATTCCCAATTTCTAGTAGATTAGAATTGTCAGAACAAGAGCTTGGAATTTATCCTGTTTTAATAAGTTTGACCAGTATTTGTGATGTGTTAGAAATAGTACATATATACTTGATCAGCACTGTATGTTCTGCCTTAGGTATCTTTTTAATGATGCTGAGGTAAAACCTTTTGATTCTGCTCAACTTGCCTCTGAATGCTTTGGTGGGGAGATGACGGTAAGTTTTATTCAAAAATTATAAATGTTTTGTGACTTTCTAAGTGCTTTGCAGTATCATAAAATCCAATAGCTAAGTCATTCACTTTTTTTTATCGCCATGATTAAATCAAAAATTATTCAGTTGTTGCTTATTATTTAGTATTGTTTAGTATGTTTGGAACATATACCAGACATTAGGAAATATTTTTAATCACTATTTCTTTATCTAAGAAGTTTTCATTAAGACACTTAAGTCTTACAGTTGAACAATTAGATAATACTGTAAGTATTGAATTACATTGCCATGAGACATTATGATTGAGTAAGTTGTTTACTTGAATATTTTGAGATTAGAGCAGAAAGAAATTACTCTTTATTTAGAGTTCATATCAACGATCTTTGACTAAGAAGTTGACTTAAGCTGAACTTTTAAAGATTGTTCTTTAGTACTTTCTTTTTCTTTTCTTTTCTTTTCTTTTCTTTTCTTTTCTTTTCTTTTCTTTTCTCTTCTTTTCTTTTCTTTTCTTTCTTTTTTTTTTTTTGTTGAAGAGAAGGTAATCAGATTTATTTATTTGTTTTTAGAGGAGGTCCTAGGGTTTGAACCCAGGACTTCGTGCATGCTAAGCATGCACTCTACCACTTGAGCTATACCCTCCCCCGCTTTAGTACTTTTTTAACAGCAGCAGCCACCTGCTTATTACTAATAACAGGATAGAAAAAGACTATCTGTTCTGTAATTAGCAGTTAAATATAAGAAAAGATAGTCAGGTTGGAGTAGTAGTATAATAATTTCACTTCTTCATAGGCAATTTACCCTAGTACCAATTTTCCGAAAACTTTAAAAGTACCTTGTTGATTTTCACAAATCAAGTATTAAAAAGTCATTTCTATTTCACAGGTAAGCTCAGATAAAGTTATTTTCCACTTTAATAGCCATATTGATTGTGAAATAACTGTTCATATTCTGGATTTTAATGAAGAGGCTTTTTTATTGCTCTTTAGTGCTTTTATGAACTATTCTGAGTAGAAAAGAAAAAGTAGACCAATTGCTCACACTTGGAAAATGGGTAGAAGGAAGTAAATAATGAGTTACCATTGAAGCCATAACTAAATGTATTGCATCCCTAGATGTTATTCCATAGGATAGTTCCTTTAAAAAAAAGAAAGAAAGAAAGAAAAGAAACAAACTGTGTTAAACTCTTCTTTTAATTTAAAAGGCAGTTTTTCAGATTGCAGGTTCATTTTATTAAGCTTTATATATTTGATAGTAAAGTACCTTAAAAAATGTTTTGAACCTTTGTTTTTAAGTACATATTCCTAGCCAAAAACTTAAGTCATGAACTTTAGTGAATATAATGCTTTTTGAAAACTATTTACAAGGTTACTGTAAAGTATAAAATATTTCATATATAAATACAGTTGAGTGTACCCATGTTTTAAAGAAGGAAAACTTTTATTTTTTTAAACAGACCAAGACCTATGATTCTGTTACAGATAAATTTATGGATTTCTCCTTTGAAAAGGTAACCATTTCTTTCCTATACAGTTTTACATTATTTTCTGAATTTCACGTTTTCTAGTCTTACAGTTACACTGTGTCAAAATGAAAATACACCTTTTTGTTTTGTTTTGTTTTGTTTTTGCCTCTTAAAGACACACAGTGCTTATATGCTGTTTTACAAACGCATGGAACCAGAGGAAGAAAATGGGAAAGAGTACAAATTTGATGTTTCATCCGAGTTACTAGAGGTACAAGTAAATTTAACTTCAGCAGCAAATTAAAAACATATTAAGTATTTATGCAAGGATTAGTACTATAATATGAAAACAGGCTATAACATCACTAGAATCTATAATTGAGGGTAGACCTATTTAAAACTGTTTACAGATAGTCTTGGTAACACTGACATACATAGGTGAATGTAAGGTGAATGTAAAGTGAATGAGATTAACAGGAGTGGAAAACAATTACTAGTAACATGGTAAAAAAAAAATTGGTTGATGGAATCAAGGCAAATTCACAGGTAACTTGGGTGGTTGATGATATTCTTGGATTGGGTGATAGGATTGCAAATGATCCTTTTCTTCTACATCATGTTACAAGTATATAGTATATTTGAAATGTATTTGAAATATGTATTATGTATATTTTAAAATGTGCCTCATTTGTAGTAATGAGGTTCTCATTGTTTCCTGATGTAGTGTTAATGCTACTTTAATGTTTTAAGATTTATAAAAAGTATTCACAACTCATTATGTTGTATCAGTGTTATAAATTCAGTCAGCCAAAAGTACAGAAAGTAAATCTCCAGAATGATTTTCTTGATAAAAGTTTGTTTCTACTATCTAGACAGTTCAGCTTTTACTATCTGATTTATTGATTGATATTTGCATTGTTATACTCAGGTATTAAAACTGAGTGGATTTTGTTCCACAGACACTCTTAGCTGGTATCTTGCCTACCTATAATTTACCGATTTATAATTTATCAGAAAAGCCAAGAATATTATCTTCTTTCAAACCCTTGAGTTGGATTTACCAGCAAAATTAAATGCTTTACTAGATTTCAAGTTACTAAACTCACCTATGTATACAAAAATTTATTTCAACTGCTATCATAACCGAAATTAAGTAGATTATGATCACCATTATGTATAAGACTTTGTGTCCCCAGGGTATTCAGACAAACATGTTCTAGATGAGAACCCAACAGTATTTAATGATAGCCAGCCCACTTGTGAAGTAAAATGAAATTTTAAATAAAACATATAGCAATAATACAATCGACACTTGAACAACACAGGCTTAAACTGTGGTGTCCACTTACATGTGGATTTTTTCCCAATAAATACAGTATCTGTAAGTAAGTATGAATTTCTTAAGTTACCTTTTCATTTTTTATGTCATAGTAATATGATGTCTATAGTGTTTTGTATCATATGACTATTGATGCAAGTATTGACGAACGATTCATCTTGCAAACAGACATAAAACCACAGTAGATAAATACAGTACTGTAAATGTATTTCCTCTCACTTATATTTTCTTAACATTTTCTTCTCCCTAGCTTATTTTAATTGTAAGAATACAATGTATCATATATATAATGTACAAAATATGTTTTAAATGACTGTTTGTTATTGGTAAGGCTTCCAGTCAACAGTAGGCTACCAGTAGTTAAGTTTTGGAGAGTCAAAAGTAATACACAGATTTTTTACTGTGCAGGATTTTGGCACTCCTCACCCCTTCATTGTTCAAGGGTCAACTGGAAATTGTTCATTTACATAAATGGTTTTCAAACTTTCTGTTCTCAGGACCCCGTTACATTCTTAAAAATTATTGAGAACCTTAAAGTTTTTAATTTTAATGTGGTTATATATATCAGTATTTACCATAATAGAAATTAAAACAAAATATTTAAATTTATTTTAAAATATCAAAAAATAAACCTGTGACATGCAATATAAAAAACATTTTATGAAAAATTTTTTTCAGAATAAAACACTTCAGTGAGAAAAGTGGCCCTGTTTTATATTTTTGTAAATGTCTCTAGTATCTGATTTAATGGAAGACAGATTCTGCCTGTGGTCTCTTGTGATCTCATTCATCATTGAGCCTCTGGAAAACTCCATTGTACACTCAGGAGAGAATGAGAGTTTTAACAAGACAGATAGCATTGTAATAGTATTAAGAAAATTGTTTGGACCTTACAGACACCCTAAAAAGATCACAAGAGACATCTGGGGGAGGGGAGGATGTTCTCTAACTCATTCTTTGAGAACCACTGATTTATGTTTGACAAAAGAGAATCCCAGACCTCTGCTCTACTATAACAAGAAAAATAAACTGAACTACATTACAACATCCTTGATTACAGACCTAACCAAACATTTTTCATATCATTGTTTTGGCTTATTAATTTAAAATGTTTGCCTGCATATACATTTTACTTTAAAAATTAAATAAAATATAATAATACTGCTACTTAATAAAGATTTTAAGTATAAATTAGAATCTTACGCTTTAGATTTGTACAGTTAAAATATAGCTGGTAGCAGACTTTCTCAAAAGGGAAAACAAAATTTTAGAACCATAAAATATATTAAGTAAGCAAACATTATAAATTGTAGTGACAGCTGTGGATAAAACAAGTAGAGTGCTCAGAAAGGGTTGTTATTTAGATCAGGATTGCTGAGGAAGGTGATCAGGAAATGCTTCAGATTATCCTAAAACTGAGACTTGAGAGTTAGTAAGGAGTTAATCATGTGACGAGTACTCCAGGCAGAGAGAACATTACATACAAATCCCCTGAGGAAGGAGCTTATTGGCGTGTTGTAGAAGCTGACAGATGACTTCTTTTGCTGTGATGATTAATCAGTGCAAGAGAGTGGCCCAAGAGGAAGTTGGATGGGTATATAGGAAATGTCTAAGAATGTTTCTATCAATGTAGTACAGTAATCTCACACTTAGTCATAACCCAGTTGGCTCCACATACAGTATATTGGTGCCGTGTAAGAAGGACCATCAAAAAAGATAAATATTTCTGTAGGATAGAAATGGAGTAGAATTAAAAGCACTGAGTTCTGATGGAAATCACAGGTCTACCAGGGTTTAGGTCCATAGCAGACAGTAGTGGTCAAGAGTTAAACAAAAATGACACAAAATCTAGAGCTGAGAGCTGTGGCTAGAAGCAAGAAGCTCAGAATTGGCTGTGTAAAGGCACTGAATCGGAATGGGTGAATGCTGTCAGACTGTCCTTGGGGCTGTACAGAAAGCTGTATGCCTGAAGATGCCAGAGGACCAAGAACTCTTAAGCAGGCCAGATCAGTTATGTGATACTGCAAGTATCAGTGTGATGCAGGAGCTCTAACACATGGTTATAAGACTTGGTTCTGTACTAGAGACATAGGCTAGGAAGGCAAGTAGAGGTGGTTTTAAGTCTTCAGTGGAATAAAGACAATCAGTAATGTCTGTAATTGGAGCATACATTTATTCTAGATAAAAATAATTATATGGAGCTTACTTGAGCATGCTTAGAGTGTTCAGAGAGAGAACGGAACACAAAAATTAAAGTCTGCAAAGCCAATTCTACAGAACAAATGTCAGAAATAATCATTTTTCACAACTTTCATAGAGTAAACAAGAAAATCCCCTCGTTTAGGTCGGCCAACCTGAATAAAATTTATTTTGTCAGTTTTTAAACAAAACCTTTTTCTCTCATGACCTGTTCTTACCAAAATATCAACCTAACATAGTTTTCATGTATGTTATCAACATAACAGTTTTTTCATTATATATTTGCTCTTCAGACAGGTGGGATTTCAGAGTTCTTTCAAAATCCTCATAATACATTTTTTTTTAAATCATTATCACTTGAGGTAGCCAGAGAAGTAATGATAAATTGGATCAGGTTTAGTAACTACTTTCATATTCCATGTACCTGGGGAAAAACCAACATGAATTTTAAGTGCATGTATTTTTTTGGTTTTTGTTTCTTTTAGAGCAAGTCTCTGTGTGTGTGTGTCTAATAAAAATATTGGTAAAATGTAATAAAGAAAATATTTTCTGATATCTCATGTTAACATGTTTTTTCTCTTCAGTGGATTTGGCATGATAACATGCAGTTTCTTCAAGATAAAAACATTTTTGAACATACTTACTTTGGGTAAGTTTGGTAGATTTAGTAATACATTTTTTTGTTACACATTTCCTAAAAATCTTATTCCATAAGAATTTTAACGATATTTTCAAATTGCAGGTTTATGTGGCAGTTATGTAGTTGTATCCCCAGTACATTACCAGATCCTAAAGCTGTATCCTTAATGACAGCAAAGGTAATATATAACCTTAGATAATTTCTTCGACATTAGCTACTTTAAAATAATTAAATCTTTTTGCTTAATTTTATCTTTTCTTACAGTTAAGCACTTCCTTTGTCCTGGAGACATTTATTCATTCAAAAGAAAAGGTATGTGTTTTCTTTTGTAAATATTTATGTCATTTATGTTATTTATTAGCTATCTCTTAATGCCTTCAGTGACTTTTTTTTCTTTTTTAGCCCACAATGCTTCAGTGGATTGAACTGTTGACCAAACAATTTAATAATAGTCAAGCAGCTTGTGAGGTGAGGTGAATAATTCAACAAACAATGCATAGCTTAAGATTCACTTTTTTGTTTTGTTTTCTTTTATTCTTAACTTAGATACTGCAGCAAAATTGTTTTATCTTTTATAAATCATATGAAGTCCAATGTAAGTTATTCCTAAAATTACTTGATTGCTAAGAGAAAGTTATAATTATGTATCAAATTCATTATATTACTTAAATAATTGATTTTTAAGTTATTTAAAAATCCTTGCTGCCCCCTTGTGTATTAAAAGGAAAAAATATAGAAAATTCAGAATACTGTACCAGGTATTTCTTAAGTACTTTTGCATGTTATTAGAAAATATTTAAAAATGTGTATCGCCCTTCTCCCTCTGAGGAAAAAAATGCATATATCCCTGTAGATGAATTTATGTCCTATTTTATCTTCTCCCATATTGCACTGTAAGAGAAATACATCCCTAAGGATAATATGCTCACAGGTAAAGATCAGTTAGCCATATTGCTATCTTAATTTCATTTATGGTTATCTCCCAGAGTATTGTGTACTTTTCTAGGAATGTGAGTCTTATAAATTTCCAGAGGTGGGAGATAGCAGCATGATGAGGTTAGTTGAAGATTTTTTCATATATAGGTTTTTAGAAAGATTTTTTTTTAAAGTTTTCTTCAGTTCGTTTGTTTGAATTAGTATTTAAACAAGATTCACATTTGCTTTTGTCTCCTAAGTTACTTTTCATCTATAATACGGTTGACCCTTGAACAACACAGGTTTGAACTATGTGGGTCCACTTATGCACAGATTTTTTTTTCAATAAATATTGTGGTTGGTTGAATCTGAGGATGCAGAGGAACCTCAGACACAGAGAGTCAACTATGGGACTTGAATATCTGCACATTTTGGTGTATCCTGAGGCTCCATACCATAGAGCAACTGTACTTACCTTTTTTTTCCTTCCTTACCATTTTATCTTTTGTTCTGCAGGATTTTCCACATGCTGCCTTTAACCTATTGCATCCTTCTGGTGTTACTTAACATATTCCTCTATCCTCCTCCCTTTTCCTAATTTTTAAAAAACTGGTAGATGCAGACAATTGATTAGATCATAAGTTTATTTTTGTTTTTCTTTTTTTAATAAAGTTGCCACTTCAGTTTTTTCACTAAGAATTTTCCTCTGGAATCCTCTCAAGGAGCTAGAATTCTCTACAGTTGTCTACATAATTACTGAATTATGTGTATGTATAGATAGGTAGTACAGTTCAATAGAGGAGTTACTGTGATTAAGAGATATCTTGAAATTATGCCTTAGATAAGCATAAAATAAGGTGTATTTATTATGTAGAGAACATAATTTGTTTTTAAACAGAAAGAAAGTGGATCATACTCAGATCATGTATTAATAGGAATAAAATATTGTACAGTGTGACATTTATGAAGACTAAGAAGAAAATAGTATTCCACTTTATTATAATAAGACTGCAGATTGTCATCATGTAGCTTGTGCACTATAATGTAAGTGGTATCCATGGAATTCTGTAATATGATGACCCTAATTATGACTTAAGGCATTTTAGATTTTGGGCTAACAGTTGAAGAATCTCTTTTGGTAAGAACTTCAAATAATTCAGATGTCAACTGGAAGTAAAATCCTTATGTAATTTTTATTCAATTTTATAAGTATTTGTTGAATGTTAAAATCACACTATTCTCTTTTTCTTTTCTTTTAAATATATATTTTTACAGTGGTTTTTGGACCGTATGGCTGATGATGATTGGTGGCCAATGCAGATACTAATTAAGTGCCCTAATCAAATTGTGAGACAGGTAAAAAAAAAATTTATTCGAAAAACAAGTGGCTTTCAAGTTAATTTGTTCCGAAGTTGCCTGTGAATATGTTTTAACCCAGCATTTGATAGCCTATCACAGAAGTCATTTTGCTATTGTTTTCACCAGCCTCTTTTGGCAAATCAGCTGTCATTCCAGTCAGGTGATTAAAATCATTCACATTTCCAAGTTACAGAAAAATAACTGCAACTGCGTATTTTCTCAGATTTTACTCTACTTTAAGAGTTGTACTGATTCTTTTCAGATCCTTATATAGTCTAAACATGGTAGGGTACTGTGATGGCCTTGAAAGTTAAATGAACATAACTTACTGAATGTAACTTAAATGAATTTAACTTATTTCTGTGACGGATCCTGAACTGTCACATGAATCAATTTGCTTTTCTTAAATCATTGGAAAAATTAACAGGGAAGAAAATACATGCATATGTATATGTATGTATTTATTTTATTTCTTTAAAAATTTTTTTGTAATTGGTTATTTTTATTAATAACTTTTAAGTTTAGTACAAAATTTAGGTGACCTCAGATGTATGTATTTATTTACATATATGTATTTTTATATGTATATGTACACACACACGCATATTTATGACACAAAAGCAAAAATTTAATCTGAAATATGCCACTTCCCAGTTACTCTTGAGATACAATTCTTATATCGTAAAACTTACCAAAACTTTTTAAAGTATAAAATTTAGTGGTTTTTAGTATATTCCCAAACTATGTGACCATCATCTAATTTTATAATACCCTGAGAAGAAATCTACCTATTAGCAGTTACTCCCGTTTTATACTGTCCCTTTTTTCCAGCCCTTGGCAACCATTAATCTACTTTCTGTCTCTATGGATTTGCCTATTCTGACCATTTCATATAAGTAGAATCATATGGTATGTGGGTCTTCTGTGACTGGTTGTTTTGATTTAACAGTGTCTTCAGGGTTTATCCATGTTGTAGCTTTTATCTGTGCTTCGTTTCTTCTTATTGCCAAATAATATTCTGTTTATCCATTCAACAGTTGATGAACACTTGGGATGTTTCCACTTTTTGGCTCTTTTGCATAACACTGCTCTGAACATTTGTTTACACATGTGTGGACATATGTTTTCAGTTCTTTTGGATATATATGCAGGAATAAATTGTTGGGTCATGTGGTTACTATATGTTCAACATTTATAGGAACTACCATACTTTTTTCATGATGTCTGCACCAGTTTACATTCCCACCAGCAATCTATGAAGGTTCCAGTTTTGCTCCATTTTCTTCAACATATGTTATTGTCTTCTTGATTTTAGCCATCTTAATGGGTATAAAGTAGTATCTCATTATGGTTTTGGTTTGCATTTCCTTAGTAATTAATGATATTGAATATCTTTTCATGTGCCTCTTGGCCATTTGTATATTTTACTTAGAGATTCCCTAGACATTTTTAATCCGTGTTGTTTTGGATAAACTTAAATCATATTTCCTTCTCCTAGTCATTGAACTTCTGATAAGCGGCTGTCCTGCCCGACTCCGCTCTTCTGAAAGATGCTGAGTTTTCTTTTCTCTGTATCTCCACTAGTTAAGAAGGTTTTGGTTGAGCTTTATCTTGGGTAATCTCTATTACTGAATCGTGTAGTTTGTTGCTGCTTTTTCCCTTACGATAAAATGGAATATTGTTTTTCAACCTAACTCTACCTTGTTTCTTAAGTCTGTAGTTAAGACTCCAGGAAAGTTTTAGAATATGAAAAGATAATCTGTAGGCAGAATATAAATGGGTAACAAAGAGTTTTTAATTGTGTTAATTTTTCAGTATCTTTGTTACTTGCCTTCTGTTGACTCTTAGGTTGTTGTATCTTTTCATTTATAGATGTTTCAGCGCTTGTGTATCCATGTGATTCAGAGACTTAGACCTGTACATGCTCATCTCTATCTACAGCCAGGAATGGAAGATGGGTAAGAAGTATTCCTTTTGAACTGAATGTTTTATTTTTAAGCTTTTTGATGATCTGCCTATAGATCATCAAATTTAAATATACGTATTTAAATATTTAGGTTCTTCTATTTGAAGATAATATGTAATAATATAAATCAAGGACCAAAATTTTCGTCCTGTTTATTTAAGTGCATTTTCAAAATCCACTACAAATAACTTTGACTTGGTCTTTTTGTTTTAATTGATTTAGCCAGACACAATAACTGGAATCCAACTATTTGTATTATTGTAACTGGTGTTCATTATTACAAAGATAAAAGAGATAAATTCAGCTTTTTAAACTATTTCTCCTCCCAAATTATCTATCCCAAGACTTCACACTTTATCTAAGATATATTAAATTATGTTTTCAGGTCAGATGATATGGATGCTTCAGTAGAAGATATAGGTGGTCGTTCATGTGTCACTCGATTTGTGAGAACTCTGTTATTAATTATGGAACATGGTGTAAAGCCTCACAGTAAACATCTTACAGAGTATTTTGCCTTCCTTTACGAATTTGCCAAAATGGGTGAAGAAGAGGTACAGCTATATTTTGTTTATTTCTGGAATTATGTACTTATTTTCAGTATTTAAAACTTAATTGTTTTTGTATTTTAAAATCAATATTTTTATTTTTAGAGCCAGTTTTTGCTTTCACTGCAAGCCATATCTACAATGGTACATTTTTACATGGGAACCAAAGGGCCTGAAAATGTAAGTACAGTTATGTCATATCAGGAATTTAGAGGCCATGTCTTCAAGTTTGCATCATGGAAAGTCAATAGATACTAGGTTACATTTAAGTCTATTCTAACCCTGATATTAAATAATTTTAGGGGTCTAAGTTGGGTTGGTGTTTGTAATGGATATAGCAGGAAAAGAAATGATCAAGTGATGTTTCACTGGTATGGCCCTGCATCACAGAGAATAAATTGAGGCAAAATGGCCACCACCTACTTTAGGGTCCTATCAGTAGCATGTTGATTTTGGTAACATTTTTGTTGGCCATATTTTTTAAGCCCTTTGCTATTAAGCTTGTCAGAGTCTTCCAAAAATTCAAGTAGCTGGTGTATTCATAATATTAGAGTATTACGTCAATTTTGTGTTGTCTGAAATGACCACATTGGATTGAGTGCTCTGTTTTCACTATCTTATTTAATCCTTGTTGCAGCCCTAAGAGGTAAGTACTATTGTTATCTCCATTTTATAGATGGGGAACTTGAGGCATAAAGAAGTTACTTTAAAAAAAAAATAAGTTAACTCGTTTTAGATCACAGTGAGTTGGGCTTCCATCCTTGGTTAGACTCCTGAGCAAAACTGTTAACAACTATGCTGTAATGCTTGTCCAAATATGTACTATTATTATCTAGTTCCAGCCTATATGGTTAGTTGTTTAGACTGCGTTTCTTTTACTCTGTTAGATCATAAGATCTTACTCTTGCATTTCAAAGCCCAAATGATACTTCTTTGAGATACTATTTGGATTATCTGAAAACTGCAAATAAGGATTTCTTAATTCATGTAACTGGCATTTTTATTAAATAGGAAGTCTGTTTTATCATTCTCATAAATTTTTATTCTGATTTATCTTCCTATGTAGGCTTGCTGTAAGACAAAATAAATTATTATTAAAGAATTTGTCTCTTTAGGTAAGGTATATAGTCACAGTATTGGGAATTGTTGTTTTTCATGCTCTGCTAAGTCGAAAATTGTCCTAAATGCAGTTTAGACTTTGAAGTTAGGGTTAGGCCTATGAGTGGTTATTTTTCATGATACATGCTCCTGCTACCATCTACCCTGCTGTTAGCTCTCAACATAGTGTTAAAAATTAATATCATATTAAAAATAGATTTTGTTCTTCTCTAGCCTCAAGTTGAAGTGTTGTCAGAGGAAGAAGGGGAAGAAGAAGAGGAGGAAGAAGATATTCTCTCCTTGGCAGAAGAAAAATACAGGCCAGCTGCCCTTGAAAAAATGATAGCTTTAGTTGCTCTTTTGGTTGAACAGTCTCGCTCAGAAAGGTGAAATGTTTCAACATTCAAAGTGCTTTAAAGCATGTTTGATTTTATTCCTTTTACATAATTGTTTTACCACTATTAACCCAATAACTTTTGTTGCTTAAATCTTTTTAAATAACAACACTATTCATCAACTCTTGTAGCATAACTATTTCAATCCTTTGTATCAAACTCTTACTTTGCCTCCGAGTCATGTTAGAAAAATATACATTGAAGAAATATACAGTAAAGTATCTAGCAAAATTATATGTGCATTCATCTTTTAACCTAGCAACTCCACTTCTGGGAATCTGTTCCCAAAATACAGAAAGATGTTATATGTAGTGCTATTTACTGAAGCAGTGCTTATAAATAGCAAAAGATTGAAAATGTCCACAAAGAGGGGACTAGTTGAAGAAACGGAGCATCCACTCAGTAGAGTAACCTATACAGAAAAAAAGGAAGTATGGAATATATCTGTACTACCATGGAGAATAATTTAGGGTAGATATTACTATGTGAAAAATAAATAAGGTGGGGAAAAGTATAGTATGCTACTTTTTAGAAAAAAGGTGAGGCTGTGTAAAAGTGAGTGAGAAAGAGTGTGTTTGTGTGTGTGTACATATAGCCAGTCCTCATTATTCATGGATTTCCAATTTGTGTATTTGCCTACTTAGTAAAATTTCCTTGTAATCCCCAAAACACTACTTGTGGAGCTTTTATAGTCATTTGTAGTTTGTGTACAATTATGTACAGATTAGTAATGTATATGTACAGATTAGTAAAAAAAAAAAAAAATTTGAGTGGGTTTGACACATGCTTTCCCAGCTGAGGCCAAACATCATGACCCTCTGCCTTCCCATTTCAGTTCTCATATTGTAAACAAATGCTTTTGTGAAGTATATGCCACTTTTTTCACATTTATACTTTTTGTTGGTGATTGGCTGTTTATGACAGCCCCATAAATAGTGCTAAATGCTGTCTAGTGTGTTCCTAAGCCCAAGAAAGCCATAATCTGCTGTAGGTAGAAAATACACATTAGGTAAGCTCATTCAGGTTTGGTTACAGTGCTGTTTACTGTGCGTTCAGTACTAATGAATCAACATTAAATCAGATATCTAAAATTTAAACGAAACATAAAGCAAGGTAACATACTGATCTATTGATGAAAGTTGTGACCAGAGGTTCACAGGAACCTAACTGTGTTATGTTCCCTATGAGCAATGAGTTGGTATTCACTAATTCAGTATTCACTGATTCAGTATTTTCAGCTCTTTACAGAATATAAGTACTACAAATGACAGGAATTGACTTTTTTTAAATTGAAGACTAAATTTTAAAAAATAAACTTTAAAAAAAGTTTCCAGTGGTTGTTGGAGGGGAAAACAGGCTGGAGGGGACAGGAATGGCAGTTTGACTTCTTTGAATATAGTATATTGTTTTGTTTTTTAGATTTATCTTTGGAATTATGTAAATGTTTCAATAATTATAAATAAATTAATAAAATGTAGTCCCTAAAAAATCAGAAGCAGACTGAAATAAATGAGCCTAACTGTCCATTGAGTTGGTGACATGGCCACTGGAGTGGAATTAAAGTGACTTTAGAATACATTAATTTAACTGTAATTTTTAGTAGGATGTACCTGAAGGACAAAAAGAATTGTTAAATTATCCTAAAGTGTTTCACTAATTATATTGTTAGTAGTACAATTAGAATTATCATTATGAAACTATTTATATTAGAGAATAAAGGAAGTAAGTGTTAATGTCCTTAGAAACCAAGATTTTCAGAAAACGAGATATACAAATATAAAATTGTAGGGTGTTTACTTAACTTTTAAAACTAAATTTGAATTTGGGAATGTCAGGAGACCTCATGGTATATTTTTTCTTAAGTAAACAAAAAATGTATTGTGTATCTCCATTTATCTGAAAAGGCCTAGAAATCCTGCTCAGCCCAGGATCAATGAGTGCCCCTGTCATGTAGATACCATTTCCTGCTGAAAAGAAATCAAGGTTCCTTGGGAAAATGGATAATTCTAGGTCTTGGATAAGAAATTAATGGGAAGCCTGGAACGATATGCATTTTGGAAGTCAAGGAGGCTGTCAAAGACTACTGAGGTCATGTTAAAAGGACTCAAGCATCAACTTGAGGTTTCTACTGGTCATAGATTAGACAACCTGAGTATCAATAATAGTAACTGTGAGTGGACTAAAACACATCATAAATGTTTACATCCGTGAGTTCATAATGATACCTAAAAAACAAAAACTTTTAAATTTTGGCAACCTTTGGAGTATATTAAGAAACTGAACAATAATTTTGGAAACTTACTAATAAAGAAACAGTATCAAGCATTTATCTTACTTGCAAGAATTATACCTTGTGGCACCCAAATGGTAAATGAGAGGGATGTTCGTCATCAGAGGTATTTGAGCTAATAAATGCGCAAAAAATGCTGGAATTAGGATACATTATTTTGCATCCCTAATGAAATAATGCATCTAGGAAACAGTCATCGTTGTCTGAAAACATTACAAAAAGAGGGACAACTTTTCATTGTGTGCCTCCTAATGAAAGTTCACACCACCACCTATAAGGTATTCTTGATTAAAAAGTCAAACCTAGATCTGATCAAGGCTCTAGATCTGACTGCCATTTTATAGGAAATATGGGGACAGAGGAACACGTTAAAACAACACAACAAGGATATAATCAGCAAAATGGAAGTATGGGAAATTCTACAGGACAAACCACCTGCTTTCTTCAACAGATTAATTGCAAGATAAAAACAAAATTGGAAGGGAAACCAGTTGTCTAAATGAAATTTAAAAGACATTTCAACGAATGGCAACAGAGGACTTTGTTGGATCCTGATTCAAACATTAACTATAAAAAAAATTTTTTAGAAACATGAGGAAATTGTACATGGACTGGATATTGTATATTAATAAGAAATTGTTAATTTATTTTCAGTTGAATAATGGTAGTGTGATTATGTTTTTGAAATTTATGTTAAAGATGTACTGAGATTTATGGACTAAGTGATAAAATATGTGAAATTGCTTCAGAATAGTTCATGTTGAGTGAGTAGGAGGTACAAATGAAACAAGACTGACCATGAGTTGGTAATTTGAAGCTGAATGATGGAATACCTACACTATTCTATTTTTGTATGTGTCTGGAATTTTCTATAAGTTAAAAAAAGAAGTGAGCAGCAATTTTAAACTTGAAAGTGAAATTCTCTATTTCTTAGAAGTTCATTTCATTTTGAGGTTTCTCTTGTCAAAAAAAGCTCTCTAAACTAGACCCACCCTAGTATTATACTATATCAAAATACTGAGTTAATTAAATGGAAATAAAGTAGCCTTGAACTTCCATATACCAATTGTGGAATTCTGAAAAAATGTCTAAAAGATATCTAACAAGCAAATCTAGCTAGCAAAAAGTTCAAAAATCATTTTATGATGGTGGTTTGGCACACTTGTTATTGAATCAACAATTTTGTTGTGTGTCAAAATGCAGGTGGCTATGAAGTAGTACAGAGGAGAGAAAAACTTATTGGCACTAATGTTTTCTTTCAGGCATCTGACATTATCACAGACTGACATGGCAGCATTAACAGGAGGAAAGGTAATTCCTTTTCTATATTAGACCACTTGATAATCACAAAAATAACAAAATAGTACTTAAATGAACAACTTTTGCTTTTAACAGGGATTTCCCTTCTTGTTTCAACATATTCGTGATGGCATCAATATAAGACAAACTTGTAATCTGATTTTCAGCCTATGTCGATACAATAATCGACTTGCAGAACATGTAAGTGCTGAGAAATAGTCTTAAAGTGTTTCGGTAGTTTTTGAAGAAAATTCTGAAATTTTCCTTTTTTTGTTTTAGATTGTATCTATGCTTTTCACATCAATAGCAAAATTGACTCCTGAGGTATGTAGGCATTTGTTAATTCTTGTTTTTCAAAGTACTCTCACCACTGACAATGCTTTCAGATGAACCTTTCTAACTGTACTGGGGAAAAAATTTATCAAGGTTTCCCCCATAAACAATAACCTATTTTTAACTATGTAATTTGAATAAACTGTGTTACCTCTTCATGTCTTATCACCAATTAATTTTCCCAATTAAATACAAATTTCCGTATAAGTTCAATATATCAGAGTACCACCAAGATACTAAGCTTTAAAATTGTTTGGTTTGAAACATATGTTGTATCTCAGAAGAAATTAGATTTATCAGAACTGTGCTGGAGAAATATGTGGAAAATAGAATATAGGATTGTACAAAAGTATTATTGTGAAATGGCAATGTTACAGCTACTATGATAATACATGTCAAAAATTAATACGAATTATACCTCAGAGAAAAAGGTTGCTACAGGGAACTTTCAATCTAAATTTTTTAATTAACATTGTTGTGTCGTAACAGGAGTTTCGATTTTCCCCCCAAATTGACATCCAGAAAAATACATGTTTTCTGTTATGTGTAGCTCCCATGCAATTGACACTGTATCCCCAGCTCATCCTGCTGCTTTATGATAGTTCAGGTTCATATGCATGACTACTGAGCTCCCTGACCTAATATAGCAGACCTAAATGTGTTGTGTTGAAGACTTATATTTGTTTCTTTTCCACTGAAAGAGATGGGTTCAAATAGCTCCAAATACAGTCGTGTGTGTGTCTTACAGGCAGCCAATCCTTTCTTTAAATTGTTGACTATGCTAATGGAGTTTGCTGGTGGACCTCCAGGAATGCCTCCCTTTGCATCTTACATTCTGCAGAGAATATGGGAGGTAAGTCTTACAGCAGATGTTTCAGTATTTATTTTTTAAGGTTTTTTTTTCCTAATATAATCACTCCCATTCTAAGTACCAGTTTCTACTTGCCTGGGTAACTCATAATGGTTTTGGTAAGTCACAGGTCACGGGAAGAAAAGGTGCTTTAGTCAGAAGACATGAGGAAAAAAAGAGTTCTTGGCTAGTTAGTGTCCTAGATGTTTAAAGACTTTCTCATGGAGTCATGGACAGCTGTCATCCCATCTAAGGTTCTCATTCCCCTACTCTCAAGAAAGATTCTGTAAAGTGGAAGCACTAACCACTTCCTTTTCTTCAAGAGTTACAGCTGAGGTTACAGAATTTCTCTTTATTGAGTGTTGGAAATGCCCACTCTCTAGACCAGGGGCCCAGCAAACTTTCTCTAACGAGCCAGATACTAAATATTTTAGGCTTTGTGGGCCATATGGTTTGGAACCACTCAATTACTGTTTTAGCATAAAACCAGCCATAGAAAATACATAAATGGGCATGGCTATGTTCTAATAAAAACTTAAAAACAGGCAAACCACAGAATTTGGCCCAAGAGCCATAATTCTAGCCCCTATTCTAGATTCCTAAGATTCCCTTTTCCCAAGAAAACAATCTTCCCAGCATACAGTGAGCTAGTTTTCATTCTCACTTATGGTAACAGATTGGGCAAACAATAAGAAAAGTAAAGATGAGAAACTAGAAAATTAAAAGCACTTTTAAATAAGTTTGTAAACTTAAGACCTAAAAGTCATTGGATTCCCTTATTGGTCCTGTTTTGGAGTCCTTGGTTATTATAATTTTATTTTGTAAACTAATGACAAATTCTCCTGAACATGTTCCTTTTGATAAAAAATAAGATACTTTAATAAATAGGAAAAAATATGGATGAAACTTCCTAGGCTCTAGTTTTAAAAAACTATTTTGGGTTTAAAGTGTTTAATGCATATTCTGAAAGTAACTTTGAAAAGTATTCGCTCATTCAGTTGGCCTTAATATTCTGTTCTTGTCATTTTACTTGCAGGTAATTGAATACAATCCTTCTCAGTGTCTGGATTGGTTGGCAGTGCAGACACCCCGAAATAAACTGGCACACAGCTGGGTCCTACAGAATATGGAAAACTGGGTCGAGCGATTTCTTTTGGCTCACAATTATCCTAGAGTCAGGACTTGTAAGTCAGATACTCAAAAATTAACAAACCATTTGTTGTTGTTCCAAGTTTCGTTTTGTTTTTTTGTTCGTTTGTTTTGTTTTTAAGGTGACCACAATACCCATTGTATAATGCAGACTCTTAGAGATGTTGTTTCTAAGGCCAAAATTGTATTAGTATTTGAAAACCTATGGCAGTGTTTTACAAGTATCTCTAGTATTTCTGATTTTTTAAGGGTAGGAAACTATGTCCTTTTTTGGGTGACATCACCGCCGCTATCATTTTTGTTTCCTTTCTTGATAGAGTGACAGAGCATGATTAGCCTAGTGAAGAGAGTGAAGGGTCAGAAAATCCTATCTGAAAAGTAACTTGAGAAGGCTAAGAATAAAGTAGCAATGAAGACACAAAGCATGCTGAGAGAAAACAATTCTCTGAAATTACGAGAGTCAAGTGATAAAAATCTTTATTGTACATAGGCCAGAAGGGAATAAACAAATTTCTTGGAAGATAGATGGACAAACACCAAAAACAGATACTTCGCAGAAAAGGAAATTGCTCATAAGTAAACACAGAATATGCTTTCTTTTGATAGTATTAAAAGAAATAAAAAATCAAAATAGTTATTTTTCAGTCTTTAATCATGAAATTTAATCATTAAAATCATATTTCCTAGTTTTCTGCTGAGGAGGCACAGAATCAATGACACTCCAGTAGCAGCAAGCACCTCAAGTACCCAGATCCATGTTTCTAAACATCATTCTCCAATAAAACAAATCACAGCTCCTTGGAGAAATGGCTGATTGTAGGACTAGGGGTGGGAATATACAAGATGAGCCTGGAGCATCTTCTACAACCAGAAAGAAAAGGAGTGCTCCAAAAACATAATGATGGCAGTATATCAAAGGGACATGGAACCAGCCAGAAAGCTTCCAGTGCTTAAAGCTGAAACAATTTGAGTGAAAAACAATAAACAGCAGCACTGAATTGTAATCCAAGTGTAAAATCCATGAGTCCTTTACTGATATAAATGAATGAAAGAATAAACAAATATGTGAAAAACAAACAAATCTCCCATACAGCATTCTAAATAATTTATTTACGTCTTCCCCTCAAGAAGGTGGAGCTTACTTCCACACTCCTTGAGTGTGAGCTTAGTGACTTGCTTTCTAAGAGTAGAGTATAGGAGTTGGAGAACTTGACAAACATTAACTCAGCTGGGTCATTAAGGATACAGTTGTCACCAATAAATCATGTTGACAGTATATGTCCTTGATACAGTATGATGCAAAGGGTACCTCATCTGTGTGATCTTCCTCCCAAAATTTCATAACCTGAGTTTTACATCAGACAAACTCATTTTGAGGGAAATTCTACAGAAATACCTGACACTACTCCTGAAAACTGTCAAGGTCATCAAAAGAAAGTCTGAGAAAGTGTCAAGTTCCACAGCCAAAGAGAGCTTTAGACATGACATCTAAATGTAATGAATTCAAAATGAGGTCCTAGAACCATATAAAGAACATGAGAGCACAACTATTGAGATCTCAAGTGTGGAGTTTAGTTAATAGTAATCTGCCAGTGTTGGTTCCTTAGTCACAACAAATGTAACATAGTAGTAATGTTAACAATAAGGAATATAGGGAGAAGGGTCTGTGTGAACTGTCTGTTCTACTTCTTCTAAAACAAAAGGTTTATGTGAGAAAAACACCTTTTGGTGATGGGTACACATGGATTGGCAGTGGTACTCTGCTCATAGGTTTTTTTCCCTGCCAGTATAGTTAACCCCACAGGAATAGGATATTTGTAAGAGCTGACACATATGCTGGTTGGTATTCATGTCCTGACTCCTGACCACAAAACAAATTAAAAACCTATGCTGAACCAATAAACAAAAGCAAAAAACAAAGCTTTTTAGGTAGCTGATAACACCCAGTATTTGTGATAGTGCTGAAGAGATAGCATTTTCATACATTGCAGTGACATTGTAAGTTAATACTACCCTTACGAAAGGCAGTTTAGCAGTATGTACCAAGATCCTTAATTTTTTTCCCCTTTTTTAACTCATTAATACCATTTCAGGGTTTCCAGTATAAGTGAGTCATCCACCAATACTGGTGTCCAGCAGCATTATTTATAACTGTGAAAAAATTAAAACGGGGTGTTCAGTTAGGAAATAAATTGTTACAATGCATTGTTTTAAAATTATAATAGTGAAGACTGTAGTAATATGAAAAAGTGCTTTTAAAATCATGTGACTTGAATTAAGGACCCAAATACTTGAACAAAATCAGTGTAGCTTGGAGTAAGAATTAGGGGTAACATGTATAGAAGAAAAGGTACAGAGAAATACTTTTAAATCCTATGAATCATTGTAAGGAATGACTGAGAATGTTTGGAGAAAAGAAAAATGGTGACATCATAGGTGTCTTAAAATAGCTGAGTTGCAGTGTAGAAAGGGAAGTAGGTTTGTTCTACGTTCTCTAGACCCAGAGACTCTTCAGTTGTAGCAGGCAGTTTTAGCAAGGTGGTCTGTTCTTCCATGTTGACCTTCCTAGTTGTTCTCAGAGATGAACATAATTAAAAAGTTATTTTTCTCCCTAGCAGAGCTTACTTCTTATTTAAAGCAAATATTTTTTATAGAAATGAATAATGGTTAGGTATGTGATAAAGCAAAACAAAATGTTAATGGTAGAATTTATGTGATGGGTCCATGAGTCATTATTTAGTAGAGTATTTTCAATCTTCCATTGTGTTCAAATTTTTGCAAAATAAAATGTTGGGGTAAGGTATATAACTTAAACTGAATAATTTTTTAATCAAATTATTTTCTCAATTGCAGTTTTTTACAAAATTGATCAAGATGACACCTGCATGCCAAGTTTTTATATTTGAAACACATACCAAATTGAGCCTAACTGAAAACAGACTAACCAGAGTGACATATAGGTGGTAAAATATGTAGAAATGAAGTATTATGCAAAAATAGAGTTTAATTTGAAACAAATCTGTAAACTAGATTATAATTAATTTTGGAAACCCTAATTTTATTTGCTTTGGCAGTACAATGGAAATTATCAAATATAGGTCGAATAGTGGGAGACAAAATTAGTAAGTGTATTGCAGAGTTAGACTAAGGTTAATAGTCTCGAGGAGACTCTGTAGTGAATGTTGTTAGGAGCATTAACTCATGAGTCTGACAATCTAGGTTTGAATTCCAGCTCTGCCAATAGCTGTGTAAAATGAGGTAGTTTTACTATTTTAAGTCTGAGTAGAAGTGGAGATGATAAAAGTAGTGTCTACTACATTAAGTTATGATGTTAAATAATAAGCATTTGATAAATGTTAGCAGTTCTTGTTGTTATTGTTGTGGTTGTTTTACCATTATCATTATTGTCATCGTTGTCATCATCATTATCATCATCGTTTCTCAAGGCCAAATCTGGTCTCCCCCGTTTTATCTGTGTGACCTTGGTCTTTGCTTCTCCAAGATTCAGATTTTCCAGTGTTAACACCATCTACCTCCAGGATGATTGTGAGGATTAAATGAGATATTTTATAAAGTACCTAGATCAATACGTTGCTTGTAGTAACTGCTTTTACAGATGGGCTCAACTAATGAGTCACTACTCTCTCAGAATTATGCCATAGGCTTAATAACATTTTTCAGGTATGTTAAAGAAGGGATTCTTTATTTGCATGCAAGCTTGGCCTAGAAGATTTTAAAAGATTTTCCAAAGTTAATGTTCCATAATTGACATATTTATTATAATCTGTACTACAAAAGACTTTTAGATAGAAGATCTCATTCTATCTTTATAACTTAAGTAATTTTACCATTATCTTATTTTATAAAGAAGAAGAAAACTAAGATCCTAAATTAATGATGGGACCATGTCAGACAGCCTTAAGTAGGTCTTCTGGCTCCAAATGATGTGTTCTTTCTGTTAAACCATATTATTTCCTGAGAAGAAATGAAATGATAAAACAAGTGGGAAAATTCTACATCTTGGGAAAGCTAAACAAAATAGGTTTAAAACTGTTTCTACTAATGCAATTGTATTGCCACTTAAAAAATAACAATGACAGAATGGAAGGCGTCTGTTTTTGTCATTCCTTGGGATCTTTCTCTGGTACCAGTGGTAGAGCAGAAAGATATTAAAAGAGATGTTCATGTCCCTTAATTTTTATTTTAATTTTTAAAGGGAAGAGTGGCTTTGTGTTTAATGACTGCTCTTCAGTCTATTTTATATCTTGTAAACATCTGACAGTTTTGTTTTACATTTTATAGCTGCAGCTTATCTTCTGGTGTCCCTTATACCAAGCAATTCATTCCGCCAGATGTTCCGGTCAACAAGGTCTTTGCACATCCCAACCCGTGACCTTCCACTCAGTCCAGACACAACAGTAGTCCTACATCAGGTCTACAACGTGCTCCTTGGTTTGCTCTCAAGAGCCAAACTTTATGTTGATGCTGCTGTTCATGGCACTACAAAGCTAGTGCCCTATTTTAGCTTTATGACTTACTGTTTAATTTCCAAAACTGAGAAGCTGATGTTTTCCACATATTTCATGGATTTGTGGAACCTTTTCCAGCCTAAACTTTCTGAGCCAGCAATAGCTACAAATCACAATAAACAGGCTTTGCTTTCATTTTGGTACAATGTGTGTGCTGACTGTCCAGAGAATATCCGCCTTATTGTTCAGAACCCAGTGGTAACCAAGAACATTGCCTTCAATTACATCCTTGCTGACCATGATGATCAGGATGTGGTGCTTTTTAACCGTGGGATGCTGCCTGCCTACTACGGCATTCTGAGGCTCTGCTGTGAACAGTCTCCTGCATTCACACGACAACTGGCTTCTCACCAGAACATCCAGTGGGCCTTTAAGAATCTTACACCACATGCCAGCCAGTACCCTGGAGTGAGTAAAATTGATAACTCTTGTATGTGTATCCTCAAATTGATTGGAAATACCTGTTCTTTTTCCCTTGTGGGAAATAGTGACAAAATATGGGAATATGATCTAACTTTAACCATTCTTTCTTAAAGACTTAGTAACATGTATTTGTTTTCTTGGATACATGTATAAAATGCTGTATTATAAAATTGATAAGTATGTGGATAATTTTTCTTAGGTTGATGTTGAAATTTTTTGTCTAATGGAATTTACCTGCTTTGCTTTATGGTTTTGTTAATGAGTCTTTCATATGTATCTAATGAAAAAGTTCAGCTTTGTGGTACATTTTTAAGGAAGTATTTACTATTTAGATATTTATTATCAAGATCTACATGCTATGCGAAGCTGTGAGCTAGACAGTATTTTATCGTATGTGTAGTATTCCCTAGGATTTTTGGGGGGGGGTTGTGAGTTTTTTTTTGCTCACACTGTGTTCAAGTGAATAAAATGTTCAAGTGGTGGCCTATCAGAATACAAACATATGCTATCTAAATCTGATCCCTTTTTCTCTGCAGACTGTGGCTTTTATATTAACTCCTACTCTCCCTACATTAGGCTGTCATTCCTGGATATTTCTTTTCATTGTTACCTCTTACTCGTTGTTGTAAACTCAAGGTTAAACCAAGAGGGTGTAAGTCTGAAGCAGGTTGGAGGGAGTGCAGAACGTTTTTTCAAGCTCTTGTCAACTCAGAGGCCATAAACTGCTAATATGAGAAGTTGTTAAATGGGAGATGGTGGGAATGTACGAGTAGGAGCTTTTTCAAGACATTCAACATTTACTTAAGAGTTCAATCAGATGACTACTGTTTTAAGTATTGGTATCCTTGAATTATGTGCTACACTTCTTTGTCCTGTTGAAGAAAGGACCTTAACTGTCCTTTAGACATAATGTAGTGAATTGTTCAGAATTTCTCATCCAGAAAGAATAACCTAATTTCCTGTCAAGATTAGAATGTCTGTAATAAAGGAAAGAAAGTTAGTATATTAAGTACCAGAAAAGGTTCAAAGCTAAGGTGATAAGAATACAGTAGGAAAAGAATGAAAGAGTCTATCTAACATAGAAAGAGTCAGGACAGGATTTATTAAGATTGAGCAGATTTGTCTCCATCACATTCACATCATAAATCTTTGGTTTAGTTACTGAACATGATATCCATAGTTAAATACACCTTCGATGAGTTCTGGGTATGTTAGAATATCCCCAAATGTTGTTTCTTGACATCAATGAAATGTTCCAACATCTTTATTTTAGAGCTTACCTATTAGAGATTTTCATGAAAATGGTGTTTAGATTAATTTTTGCCATGATAATGATAAAACTGGGAGTTTCTATTCATGGATAAGTATTAGGACAACCCTTTCCTAACATGTCCATGAGTAAATGAGTTTATAAAACCACATTCCGTTTCCGCATTTCATCCATCAGGTAACTTGACCTGGACCATCCATCAGTCTAGAAAGATCATTCCAAATGTTGGCACAAAGGATTTTCTCAGAAACAGTATTAATGCAAGTATAATTGAGGGGTGTAAAATCTTTGTGACAAAATAGTAATTACTCATTTGTTATAGAAAAGAGAACAAAGGACTGACACAGTATCTCAGGACATATTTGAAGTTACAAAACCAGTACTTTAAACAGTTTTAAGACTAAAAATGAACTGTATTGTAGTTTTTATTCTTCCCTGAAGTTCTATTTTAAAATTACTTTCTTGTAGTGAGTAATTTATTAAAATTTTTTAACAGAATCCATTGGTAATTTTATAACTATTCTTGGATGGTACTGCAGTAACTATTTTTGGATAGTAGTGCAATCTATCTTATTTGTGTAATTTGTAGAGCTGGCTAATGAGCATAACATTCAGATATGAGCAGATGACATTGTAAGATGTTGTAGGATTAAAAGGTCATCATAATGCTTATTTGCCCTTTTAGGCAGTGGAAGAACTGTTTAACCTGATGCAGCTGTTCATAGCTCAGAGGCCAGACATGCGAGAAGAAGAATTAGAAGATATTAAACAGTTTAAGAAGACAACCATAAGTTGTTACTTACGTTGCTTAGATGGCCGCTCCTGCTGGACGACTTTAATAAGGTAAAAGGATACTTTCTGAAGTTTTTGTGTTTTGTGTTTCCTTATGAGGGGATGGGGACCATCATTTTGACACTTAAAAGGGAATAATTTAAGTTGTTTGTAACTGAAAGTTTACCAGTTCTTTAAGGTTATTGGGGAAGCATTTAAACCATTAGTCACCTTGGATAAATGTGTATTTTGAGAGTTAATTAGCTACTTTTTAAAGAATTATAGTTGATTTATAATGTATCAGTTTCTGGTATATAGCATAGTGATTCAGTTATACATACATGTATTCTTCATACTCTTTTTCATTATAGATTATTACAAGATACTGAAGATACTTTCCTATGCTAACAGTAGGACCTTGTTTATCTATTTTATATGTAATAGTATCTGCAAATCCCAAACT